CCTTCTAGAGTATGCCCCAATGACCTAACTTCCTCCCTTCTAGAGTACACTCCAATGACCTAACTTCCTCACTTCTAGATTATGCTCCAGTGACCTAACTTCCTTCTTTTGAGTGCATGCCTCAATGACCTAACTTCCTTTTATCTCTTAAAAGAACAACCACCTAACAGTAATGCTACCAGCTGGCAACTGACCCTTTAAAATACGAGCTTTTGGGAGCTTTGTTATCTGACTCATAACACAGTACTCTTCTGTGCTATGACCTGCTCCATCTTACCACTGACGGGTGAGAGGCAAGGTCACATCACAGAAGAGCATGTTAGGGAAGTGTTGTTATCCTTATTGGGAAATACTGTGTGCCATACCTCCCCTAGCTTCCACGCAGAGTTAACTTTCATGGCATTTCCTGTTGATTGTTGGTGTAAGCCCCAGGAAGGCATGAGCACCCATTCATAGGTATCAAGCATCTAGAACCTGGCCTGGCACATGAACACACAATATAAAGTAGGTGTTCTGAGCTGCTGTGTTCAGATTGTTTCCTGTCCTGGTGCCGTGAGTTCTAATATTGCTCTGTTTTATTGTCCTCAGTGCTCAACAGGCAGGCACTTTGATTCTGTACCTCTGCGTTTCTTGGAATGCAGCAGGGAATTGGTGCTCAGTAAAAATGCTAAGTGAATAAGACAAGGTCAACTGGAGCTGGGCTCTGAAGGATAAATGGGATTTTGCTAAGAAGAGGAGGGGCAGGGCGTGAAAGCAGAAGGAAAGGAGGAGTGAGGCTGGAAGGAGACTGGCTGTGAGGCCCCAGAGTCTGGCCCACCTGAGTTGGCCTCTAGTCTGCAGCCCAGCCTCCTTATGCTTGCTGAATATGCAAATGCCAAGTGTACAATCCCACGTATAGATTTCACAAGGAAAACGAGTGAGATTAGAGAAACCTCAATAACTCCTGCTGAGATAATGTCTTAAACACAAGCTTAGTGGTAATGCAAGTATGAACACACGTTCAGATTCTGTGTTTCTGAACTTGCTGAGAACTTACTCAGTTTATATATTCTAACCAGGGCAAATTCTGCGACTTACATTCGGATGTTGCTTTCTTGCCAGTTGTACATCCAAGAGAATGTGGCAGAATCCTTCCGTTTGACCTGAAGCTTTGGACTAAATCTTACGAGGGAAGGCTAAGTTTATTTAAGGGGAAGGAGGTGTGCCATTCACTGGGCTCCTATGAATTCCTAGTGTAGTGGCAGAGGGTAAATCCACAGGTGCAAACGCAACTGTTCAAAAACTAACAGAATGTTTGCAAACATGATGCTATACAAAGCACCATATCCTTTCCCTTATATGTTTCTAAACCAGTCAGTAAAATGTCAAGGAGAGGTTTAGTCCCTCCTTTCATACATTTAAAACTTTTCTTGTATGTTTGCATATGTGCACACCTGGCATGTTGAAATGGGGTCTCTCACTTGATCCCAGGACTCACTGGCTCATCTGCTGGAGCTCGACAGCTTGACTTGGGGATCTGTCATCCCCATCTCCTGAACGCCTTGAATTGCAAGCATTCGTGTGGTACTGAGGATACAAATTCAGGCACTCATGCCTGCATAGCGAGCACTTCACTGAGCCGCCATCCCTGTCCCATGCATCTTTACTTTGTTTTAGATAGGTTCTCATTAGGCAGATCTGGGTGGTCTAGAAGTTGCTATGTAGACTAGGCTGTCCTTAATCCCATAGACTCCCACCTGCCTCTACCTCTGTCTCTGAAGTACTGGGGTTAAGGGTGTTTACCATCAATCTCCACCCCCCCACACACACACCTTAATCCACTAGAAATATTCACCAACAGGTAAATAGAGCTTGTGTTGCCTGGTTATCAATATATGTGGCTCGTATTTTTCATCCATACTGGAGTAAAAAGAAACCCCAATTATCTTCAGTTAGATCCGGCCACAGTTGTATTAAATGCCCACACAGAATCCTTTCTTTATCCCTGTTGTTTACGAAAAGTACCAATCAAAGATGAGACTTTGCACAGACCAACAACCCAGAGATGTAGACTCAGCTGCTGATTTTGATTCCTAAGCCTCAGAACAGCACCTGTAAGAAAGTGTCAGAAATGAAGTCAGGACTGGAGACATCCCTCCTCCTGAGCTGTCCTCCGATTAACAGGGCCCAAAACATCCTCGTTTCCTGTCTCCAAGAGCCGTGGTGGGTGGCCCTGAGTTAAGCATTCTTTAGAAACCACCCCACCTGGTGCTACCTCCCCAGACACTCAGAGGCTCTCGGGACCACTAAGATGAGCCAGTAAGTGGTAGAGAGATGGAAGAGAGAAAGAAGCAGAAAGGTGAGTCCCCACTGAAGAGTAGCATAACTGAAGACTCAGAACTGGAGACTTCAGGGTGGTGGGAGGATGGGGGAACCTGATGTGAGAGCCAGTGATTCTGCCTGAGGCCCTGGTAAGGTGCCAAGGGGGCACATCAGGGTTCATGGCCCTGGAGTGGGGGGGTCTGTTACCACCAAAGGCCATGTAGACATTTCTGATCTGGGCTGCTGCCTAGGACCATGCTAAGAGGGCTGTGCAGAGCTGGTCCCACCCCTCAGTAGCTGCAGCACTCTGGAGGGCAGCCCCACACCTTGCCTGGGAAGCACAGTTGAACTGGCCCTGGTGGCTGACGTGTGTGCAGGAGAACTGGCCCCTGAGGGCATGCCAGTGAGAGAGCTGGCCCTGCCCATTGCTGACTATGGCACTCTGGTGAGCTGGCTTTGCCCTTTGCCTGGGCAGTGCTGGAGAGCTGGTGGGAATAGGAGAGCTATCAGGCAGATTAACTCAGCTACCACCCAGGCTGGATCCAGAGCTCTGAGTTGGCTCTATCTATGAACTGTTGGAGCACATGAAGGGGTTGGCCCTGTAGACCCAAAGTGTTGAGATCTCTCAGCTCAGGGCACCAACAGAGTATCCGAGAGGAGTCCTGTGAGGATCCAGTGTTGATGGTGTAGCAGAAGCCAGAGGCCTGGAAACAGACCAATGACTCACTGCAATGAACATTTGCAAGGACAGTTGTTTGAGCAAAAGGGTGTGTGTGTCACTGTGTAACACATGGTGACGAACAGTGAGATTTCTGTTTGCTTATTGTTTGTTTTCTTTTAGGGGAGGTTCCAAGGATGGAAGGTAGATATGGAAGGATGGGGTGATGAGTAGGATTGGGGTGCATTATGTGAATTCACAAAGAATCAATAAAGAGTTAAAAAAAAAAAGCAAGGTGGCACCATCAAGATGACTTATGGGTAAAAGCACTTGCTATCTAACCCAGTGACCTGAGTTCAATCCCAGAAAACTGACTCCTACAAGTTGCCCTCTGACCTCTATGTACACACACACACACAGACAGACAGACAGACAAATGAATAAGTGTAAAACAAAACCCACATGGACGGTGCATGAGAAAAGACATTTAAGGTTAACCTGAAATGGATACACACACATGCACACACACAGACTCACACACACAGTCCCTCACACAAACACACACGTACACACACTCACATACATGCACACACACTCATACATGCATACACACTCTCATATATACACTCACACATACACACTCACATAATACACTCACACATACCTTCTCACACACTCACATACCGAGACACACTCTCTCTCACACACACACTCTCACACACATACATACACACACATACACACTCTCACACTCACACACTCTCCCCCAGTGAGGCTGCACTCCCTAACCTTGCCCAAACAGGACCAACTAGGGACCAAGTGCAAATGCCTGAGACTGTGGAAGGCACAGAGAGGCCGGTGGAGCAGCAGGGCGGCCCCAGGAGCCTGCTGTCTTACACTGCTGTGACTGACAGGTCTGTTCCCTTTCAGGAGGACTGGCGCTGGCCCAAGTACTCTTCTTCTATGTGAAGTACTTGGTGCTCTTTGGTGCTCCGGCTCTGCTCATGCGCCTGGACGGACTCACACCACCACCCCTTCCCCGTTGTGTGAGCACCATGTACAGCTTTACTGGGATGTGGAGGTCAGTCTCATGGTTTGCTTAAGTCTTTGGGGGTGTCTGGTGGGCTTGGGTGGCTTTGGAGAGTCTGGCTACTGTCCTTCCCCTTCACCGAAACACGTTTGGAACTACGCATTCTTTATCCTGCTAACATGATAGGAGTTTTCAGACTATGGAAGTGAGTGAGGCAAGACAGACTGTTTGCCCACACACACAGGACTATATCAGGAGTAGTTTCTTACTAGGGACAGTATATTAGTTACTTGTGTCGTCGCTGTGATAAAATACCCTGACCAAAGCAATTTATGGGGAAAGGCTTAGTTTTGGTTCACTGTCTGAGTGTAAAGTCCATCCCAGTGGGAAGACTTAGAGCTTGGGAGGCAACTGGTCAAGTTGCATCTGCAACCATGAAGCAGGAGGACATTGAGTGTCAGCTGGCTTTTTTCTTTTTATGCAATCCAGGACCCAACCCAAGAAATGTTTAGAGTGGTCCCCACCCCAGTTAGCCTACTGAAGTTAGTGTGTCTGCAGGCTTATGTCCTAGGTGAACCTGGATATGGTCATGTTGGCAAATGTCACCACAGACATGCTACAAGGTCCTCCTCACTCTGCTGTCTCTGAAGATGACTGTGTGAATCACACTAACTAAAGATGGTCTGAGTGTGATAGCCCAGGCCAGTGTGCAATGCTATTCATTCATCTCAGGTTTGAAAAACCCTCTGGTTCAGTCTTCTTGTCTTTTCAGTAATATTAATAAGAGGGTTATACCTGTCACCAGAAGTTCTTTTGAAGATGAGGCAGGTCACGGCAGATGTTTACAGATGTCAGTCCCCAGTATGTGTTGTTCCTGTGCGAGGTTTGGATGAGGGCGTGTGACTGATGTTTCTCTTGAGTTCTTCTCACCGCTTCTGATTTTGTCCCACAAACTTAATGATTGACCTGAAATTTTTCTTCCTAAAGATCCCACAAGTCTCTTGTCATTTTGATAGCTGTTTTCCAAAAGGACTTGTTTGCTTCGATGTTTTTCTGAGCATGGCTGGTGTATAGCAAGGGTCAGGATTGCTTCTGTAATCGCAGACACCCCTGGAAGAAGCTCAGGGCTGTGGGGATTGGGAGAGGGGCACTGGCTCAGCAGGGGAGTCGGTGCCTACTTAAATTTGCCCTTTGGTTCCCTTGCTTGTCTCTCTAGTTGTGGCCCTGCTCAGAGTTGTAGACATGAGACCTGAGATAGAGTAGCAGGAGAACCCAATGAATGTCACTGTATCCAGTGGTGCTCTTCTGAAGCACCCAGGCAGCATGCAACGTAGCTGTTCGGGCACTTGTGGAATCGCCTGGCTTCTCTGCGCACAGTTTAACTGAGTTCCAGCTTGGCTTATGGGGTTTCTTCTAGTTATCGAAGGACTGTCAAGCAGTTCCCTCGTATTTCCTTCATTATTTAATCAAGCTCCAGGCTGGCCTTTTTAATGGCAAGACTGGGGAATGCTGGCAAAGGGGCTCTTCTCACGGCTGGAAAGTAGGTTTTGTTAAGATGAACCTCACTGGAAGCTGTTATAGTGACTGGCTCAGAAAGGTCACTTCCTCAGCCAATGGTGGGACCAGGGATGATTTGGGAACACGTCACAGGCATCTGCTGGGAACCCTGCATGGCTCCTCTGCCTCTCTGTTGTGACCATCTGCACTAATGTACTTGGGAAGGACATTTCCTGGGGGCGTCTACAGGGTCAGCTGGAGTGGTAACCATGGTGACCAGGGCAGTTTCCTTGTCCATAGGTCACTGTGTTTTATACAATGAAACAGAATGGTGGCTTTTGTTTTGGGTTTTTTTTTTCAGTCAAAATTTTTAAAAGCTTTTTTTCTTTACAAGTGTGTGTGTGTGTGTGTCTGTCTGTCTGTCTGTCTGTCTGTCTATAGTTATGTGTACAAGAGTGAATGTGCCCTTGGAGGCAAGAAGAAGATACCTGGCCTTGGATACAGTGAGGCTGGAGTTACAGATAGTTGTGACTCATCTAGTGTGAGTACTACAAGCCAAATGTGTGTCCTCTTGAAGAGCACTATGCACTTTGAACTGCTGAGCCATCTCTCCAGCTCCCTTATTTAACTTATTTTTGTCCAAGAAAGATTCTCAATTTATGTAAGCCACAAAGATGGAGAAAACGCTATCATCATCAGGTCAGATGGTTCCTCGTCGAAGGCTTCAAATGTGATCTGAAATTCGTGTATAGGAGCCCTTGGCAAGAACAACCAACCAACCAGCCAACCAATAGCTTCTCCTCTAGGGTTGATTTGGGCTCACATTCTTGCTTCTGTAACGTACAAGACTGGGCAGTTCCTTGGGTTTGTGTAGGTACCTTGATTTAAGCAAATGCTTATGTGTATATGTGTGGCTATGTGAATTTATGTGCTTTGTGTGCATGCGGGTGACCAAGGAGGCCAGGGGTTGGGGAGGGGCATCGGATTCCTGGGACTGGTGTTTGTAACCTCTTGGTGTACAAACTGCTTGATTGATGTGGGTTCTGGGACATGAACCTGGGTCCTCCTGCAGAAGTGCTCTTACCTACAGGGTCTGCCCAGCCCTGTGTTTGATTTGTTGTTTTGTTTTTGAGACAAGGTGTCACTATGTGGCCTAGTCTGGTTTTGAAATCAGCTTCCTAATTGGCAGGCAACAAGTTTCTTCCCAGTTTGCTAGCTATACTTAAAAGTGCTGTGTCTTTGTATGAGGAGCCTTTTCATGATAAAGGGCCAGATTTCAGAACCTAAGTGAGCATCTGAGCCATGGTGTCCAGGGCAAATCTCAGGAGAGGCTTTTTAATTGAAAAAACAAAACAAAAAAAAAGATGCTGATTATCTTTGTGTCATTGGCAGAGTGTCTCTTCCTCACAGGGAGGTTTTCAGTGTTGTGGGTTGGTGTGCACGTATGTCTGCTGTATGTGTATGTTTGTGTAGTATATGTGTATGTATACATGTGCTTGTCTGCGTAGTGTATGCGCATGTGAGTGCACATGTGTGTTTACTCACGCGGAGGCCAGGGGTAAATGTTGGGTATCTTCCTCAACTGCCCTCCATCACGGATTGCCTCGACTGGCTGGCCAGCAAGCTCTGGGGCTCTGCCTGCCTCCGCCTCCCGTGTATTACAGTTGCAGACATACCTGACCATACCCAGCTTTGTTCTGTGGGTTGCAGGACAACCAAATGCAGATTGTCCTGGCTGTGTGGCTATCCCACCTAGCCATCTCTCCAGAGCTGACTCAGAGTGTTCCACGTTCCCTGTCTGAGTGTACGGTCTGTTAAAGAAAGCCAAGTTGTCGAGTTGTGCTATCTGGTCTCCGGCTTCACTCTGATGTTTCTGGGCTGCAATCCAAGACTGGCTCCCTCTTCCTTAGTCTAAGAAGAATTTAGTCAGGAGCAGACAGACAGTTGACAGGACACGTGTTTGCAGGCCGTGGCAGAGGGGAGAGGTCTATAACAATCTTCCGGAGGCTACTGAGTGACCCTCAATCCCCTGGAAGTAGATACTGAATGAGGTTTAGAATCAGTGATGAGAGGCTATCAGTGCGGCACCTTACATACCTAACAGGAGATTGGCAAATGCATCATCTTTTGGTGCATTTCTCATTGAAGGACCCTGATGTTGTCAGCCTGCAGTGCCTTTGGATTCTGCGCTTTGCATCATAGGACAGATGATTCTGGCCACTGGCAAACGGGGTGGTTTAAATTGTCCATGGAGAATTGCTGCTTCTCCGATGACCCGCCCCTACAGTAGGGCTCTGGTGGGTCCATTCAGTCCTTTCTCTGGGTTACCTCCTTCGTGGATCCTGTTGAAATATTTGTGAAAATATATTGCAAAGCTCCAAGGAACCGCTGTGTTCCCATGGCGTGAGTTTTCTGTGGTTCTCCAGAACTGAGAAATTGAAATTTCTATGGTTTATATCTAGATTTCATGTTTTAATTTAGAAGAGCTGAGATCTCTAATGAGGATCTTTTGCCAAGAGTCATTAAGGATGGCCTCGCGTGCCTGAGGTTCCGTATTAACATTCTGATGGTGTCCTGCGATTTGATTTCTAACTATGGAGGTGATTTCCCACAGTGGCTGGTGAGCCATGGGTCAATTTCCGCTATCTCAAGAATCTGAGTCAGCTTGCCCTCCACACTGCTTGAATTATGATCCTTTCTAGACTCTGCAGGCAAATTCATGCATCATCCGGTATCCCAGAGGAATCTGGGTAGTGGTTGGTTGGGGCTAGATTTTAATGTGTGAGTTCATCTTTAGGCTGAGGAGGAGGAGGAAGAAGAGGAAGAGGAGGGACCTGAGCCCTGTTCTCTCAGTGGTGCATCAATTGTCCAGATGGTAGGTCATTAGAAGAATTTAGTTCTCTAGATGTGGTGCTGGCTCTTCTGTGCAGTGGGTGCTGAACCCACAGATGAACTGCTGGGTCTTCAAGCCTCCTGCCTTTGAGTAATGCTTAATCTGCAGTCACAGGGCAGGTGGCAGGCATGGGGTTGGTGAGATATATGCCGTGGTCCCCCAGCATCGCTGATGTAAAACAAAGACAAGGTGGATCAGAAGTGGCAAAGGTAGAACAGAATGTGTTCACAAGTGCTTACCCCCTCCAGAGGGACCTGGTCTCCAAGAGCCTGCTCTTCACCAGCCGTGAGACTTTGGGCAGGTTGTTTATTTTTCTGGGCCAATTATTCTATCTCTAACCCCCCCCCCCCAGAACTTGTCCCATAGGATAATGTGATGACTTATGGAAATGAGCATATAGTAGGCCCCAGGAAGCAGTAACTTTGTACTTTTTTAGCGGGAGCTACTGTTGTAAGCATGACAAAGCCAGAGATGTCCAGGAGGTCTATCTCCTGCTGGGCCAGACCCTGTAACCCTGAATGCTGAAGGGGCTGGCTAAGCAAAGACTCCATCCAGCTGGGAACCAGAGAAGCCATGATTCAGCAGAGTGGGCGGAGCGTGAGCCCACCATTGTCTATGTTCTTGATCACCAGCCCAGCTACATGGAAAAGGGATGGCTAGC